AAAAAATCCTCCACGAAGGAAAATTTCCCCCAATACTTGATCCAGGAGTTCCCTTGTCTTCTGGATTAGGTTCCAAATTACAAGGCTACGGAGTTGAACATTAGTAGTCGTAAACCCAAAATTGGGTTTACGACTGCATATATATATATATATTATATATATATTATATACTTCATTATGAACTTATATATATACATATATATATATATTGCCATAGGATTCTAATCCGAGCGATAACTGATCGATAAGATTTACGCATCCGACTCGCACTGACCACAGTGTTGACGACAAATATCCACACTGGTAGAAGACGGATCATAGGTTAGAATCCCCTTGCCGTCGGTCTAACAGTGGGAGGTTTTCGTGGTTTCCCTTCCATGTAATGGAAGTGCGGATTAGTTTCCTTCCGCGATGGCAAACTTCTTCCAATACTTGATCCTGGAGTTCTCTTGTCTTCTGAACTGGGTTCAAAATTACAAATCTACGGAGTTGAACAATGGTAGCCATAAACTCAAAAATGGGTCTTCTGTTCAACGAAGGCTATAAAGTAAAATAATAAATAAGAGCCGTGGTGGCATAGGAGATAAGGCGATCGCCTCCCACTGAGGCGACCCGGGTTCGAATCCTACTGATGGCTAGTCCATACGAATTCCACATCCGGCTCACTCTGACCACAGTGCTGACGTAAAATATTCTCCGAGGTAGAAGACGGATCATGGGTTAGAGTCCCCTTACCATCAGGCTAACCGTGGAAGGTTACCTTCACGAAAGCAAATTTCTCCCAACATTCCATCCAAGAGTTCCCTTGCCTCTTATATTAAGTTACAAATAACAAGGCTATAGCATGGCTATGTTGGTAGTCATAAACTCAAAATTGGATCAACTGTTCAACGACGGTTATAAAATAAAGTAAAAAAATAATTCTGGGGCACCATGTATATTCCACAATGTTCCAAATCAAAATTCGAGGAAGATAAGATTCACAGTGTCTCAATTGTAATCGAGAAAAACATGAAGACTTTGCAAAGGAACTGGATCCAAGTTTTATTTCGTATTTCTGTTTTTAAACATGATTAACTGACCTAATTGATAGTGAATTCTGAGTGTAATGCGAATTCTTATGTAATGTGAATTTAAAACATTGTTATGTTTCTCAGTGTAAAAGGGGCACAATATTAATTTGTTGCCATAAATAAATATTTCAGTTGAGACAACGGTATTTTTTCATTCTTTCTATGAATAAATTCCTATCTTTAGCATACTTCCATAAAATGATTATTTGGAACATTTTTTTACGATAACTTTTTTTTATTTTTTAATCTTAATTCGTCCGACTTTCTCCCATAACTAATTTAGTAGCTAACACATTTTCAAAGATGCAAGTATAAAACTATTAATTAAACAAATAAAACAAAAAAATATATTTCAGATTTTTTTAAAAAAATCGATATTATGTTCGAATTTCCAGAATTGGATAACGAGTTAAATGAACAAACGATTACGCAGTGGTACTATTTGATAAAACAGAAGATTGTTATAAATATCCCCTGCAAATTGTCACCACGCAGGTGAAGTGAAGTGTCAATATCGAATAAAACTTACCGAGAATCTCGTCATTGAAGTAAAGATTAAACAATCCCTGAAGAACCTACACCTGTTGTATCACGCAAAAGAAACAAATTATCAGCTCCGGTTTATAGAAGAGGAAAACAACTTGTAACTAGGAAATTCCGTGTTTTGCCCTTCGAAAAAGTTAACTTCTTTTTATCGTTTTCTGTTTTAGTATGGCTAAACTTTCAAATAACGTGACATCGTCTGCGACATAAAAAGTTACGGTCCAAGTGACTACCTATCGAAAATAATTAATTAGCGGTTGTAAGAGATTTTCGGTTTGTGTAATTGTGTTATTTAAAACTCCATTTTATATATCTAAAACGAAATGGATACGAACGAGAAATTTAGAAAGAATTTCGATTTAATAATTGTAGGTTATGAATTGTTCTTAGGCTTAAGGCAAGTAATGAAACGCAACGAAAACTTTTGCATGTAATTCATGCAATTTGGAAAAATCTATTATAGGTAAGCAGAAAAAACAATTTTAGCTATATTTGAAAACCATGAAGTACATGTGAGGGAAAATAATACCTGGTTCAAAACAAATCGAATAATTCGTCAATAAAGGAATAAGATTCTAAATCCAGATTATAAGTAATTTTAAAGGAACAAATAGATTAAATTTTTTAATTAAATATCACGAATATTCATACATCTAAGGAATTTAGCGAGTAAATTTATTAATTATTAATTTAATAGCATGAATATTCATATGAATATTTTAATAGCATGAATATTCATTAAATTCTTCAGATGTATGAATATTCATGCTATTAAATTAATAATTAATAAATTTATTCGCTCATCTGAAGAATTTAATGCGTAAATTGTTTAATTATTTAATTAAATAGCATGGGTATTCATACATCTAAACAATTCAATGTGTAAACTCATAAAGCCTAAATTATTAAAATATTTGAATGACTTGAATGACCAAACTGTTTTTTGAAGAAAAACTACCCGGCAAAAAAACGAAAGAATATTCTGTTTCATATCATAAACTGTAATCATTATTGGGAACTTTAAGCTTAACACAAATGAAATGCGAATTACAACGTTATAAAACGTAAATTACCGGGCATCCAAAATATAAAGAAACGGCGAATATCTTGAAAAATTTGCATAGTATTGAAAATCTTAAAATTACTCACAAAAAATATTTTCATAACATGCGTTCAATAGGATAGCAAATTCGACCCCCTAATCTCTTCCTTAGAACTAAAGCTGGAACTTAAGAACTTAAGCTGGAATCAACAACAAAATTTTGGAACAGTAGTCCCCATGTTTTTTTCTCCGCAGATTAGGCCAATGTGAGCGTAACGCTCCCTATAAGTAAAGATGAGGGGAATTGCAGCAATCTAGAAAATATGATCCTAATAGTTTAGTCTGAAAATCAGTTAATTTTAATTGTTTGCGTATTTCACCACTTCTCGGGCACTTTTTAAGAGAAGTGAAAAATGTTGACTAAAAAAAATTTCATACAAAAATAACTTTTTAATAATCATTTATTTTTTTATTATATAAATACTGAAAATTTCGAAAAAGGAGCACTTTTAATAAACAGAACAATAATTTTCGGTTTGTGTTTTTTTCTTTTCTTCTTCCTTCTTTCCGTATTGCAAAGACAGGATTCGACAAGATCGGGGTAACAAAAGATATTATCAGTTAGTTGTAACTGATAATAAATTCATTGACGCTTTTTCGGCATCTTTTTGTAGTCAGAAAACGATACTTTTCTTTTTTATCAAAGTTTTTATTTGGTAGAAACAAAAATGATTTCTAGAGTTCTTCTACGAATGTTATTTTATGACTCTTTGCATTCACATTAAAGTCACACGATTTTGTGCTTTATAGTGTGCGTAGAATTGAATTTTTAATCCCCGTTCAAAATTTAAGACTGCATCAACATTTACTGACTTAATTAGAAAATCATACTTCTATTTAATGTAAGTGAAAAATACAGCTTATCTTTTCTTTACTTGAAATTTTAGTTCTATTCCTTCATTTTTAATCATTCGAGTAAATGTATGATCTATTTTCAAATAGAATGATTATTTGATGTTCGTGAATAAATAAGTGTAAAAAAAGTCACAAAAGTTTAAAAATAAAGCAAGAAATGTTTTCTCTGCATATCACCAATTACAAAAAAACATTACTATAAAAAAGATAATATAGTAAATCAACTACAGCGAAAAAATGTCTTTAAAAGTCATAATTTATCGTTCCAATAATCAGAAACTATTAGCATATGGGAAAAAAAAGGCCTACTTGTAACGAAAACAACATTATAATACATATTATTGTTAAATTTTTAGTTAAACCAATTGTAGTTTGAAAAAGTTATCGTGAGTTTGTAATTATAAAAAACACTATTTTGAAGGAACACTATTAAAAAAAAATATGTACAATTTTAAATCCCCATTCGCCTCCCATAGTTTAAAAATAAAAATGAGCTACACAGCTTAAAAGTTTTATTATTGCAAAAATTGTAACTTGGATCTCTCTCTTCTAGCAGCAAAGATGCAAACAAAAGTAACTTCATTTACACATCGACCGAAATGGAAGTATAAACAGACCGTTTTCTGATTCATTCAATTTAAATAAATGTAGAATATAATAGGCAAATTAAATAAGCTTTTATTTGATCCTAGCACTGATTATAGGCTTCTTCGCAAACATGACTTGCGCTTCTTTGCAAACAAGCAGTGATTATATGCTTCTTTTGGTGACATAAACAGGCTACTGCTGTTTATGCTACCAGAGTAAAGAAAATAAATAAATAAATAAATCAGATTCGTATTTGTTTTAACGTTACTTCTCTGTACGCTACAGCCTGTTTATGCTACCAAAGTAAAGAAAATAAATAAATCTGATTAGTTTTTGTTTTAACGAAAATCCTTTTTCAGTTCATTCATTTTCAGTTTATGCATACACTAAAATCTATGAGAAACTAAATTAAATGACACTCCAGTCCTGTGAATTCAACTGTTGGATATGTAACCCAATTTTAAAACTAGTAGTATTGAAACGATCTAATGAAAAATTTCATTCTTCATTCAGTCACTCAATATTTTCAAAATAAGAGATAAAATTTAGATCAATATATGTTTTTAAAATAATTAATAAAATTTAGATCATTGCATATTTTCAAAATAATTAAGAGTCTTTCGTTAATTTATGTGTTCACAATTGCTAATGAAATTTAGTCATCAAATTTGGTATTCCGAGAAAGATGGTGCATAATTCCACAGTCGAAAAAAATTGGGAACAGTTACCTTCCACCATTCCTTTTTAAGACTTAAAAAAAACTTTTTCGGGTAAATAGAAAAAGCAATAGATGGCGACACTACGAAACTTTCAAATAATAAAATCAAAAGCAATGGTAGGGGGAATACACGGCACGAGTCAGCAAGTTTGTGATCATTGCAGGGAATAAAACACGCGACAACAGATGGCAGATATCAACATTTGATGATCGTTTGATCCATTCCTCTTCAAAATCATTGCAGACGATCAGAAGAGATGCCACGCTCTTTTTTGATAAAGAAGAAACCCTTCTCCAATAAGATTGGAGTGATGATCACGCATTGCGATAGTGCCGCAAATAGCGGTGGGCTAAATTTAATTCATTCGCAAAGTGAAGAAATTCCTTCCTCATTAGGTATGATAATAATTTTAATTTTTTTTTTCATTGATAAAATAAATTAAAAAAGTAAATTTATTATTACTGGAAAAATCGTTTGCTTTTTCAATCTTATTGTTTTCATTTCATCTTTTGCTTCTTTTTTCTTATTCGTTTTTTCTTTTTTCAGAAATGAATTTATTAACTTATTTATAAAATTATTTTTCATATATTAGAAATCTTATTAATTGCAATATTTTTAGTAAAAAATATTAATTACATTTTAATTTAAAAACCTATTATTGCGTAAAACATAATAACGCAATGGATAAACAAAATTAATACTATCTTATGCTTACTGTTATTATGTAATACTGATAAAAACTCATTACTGATTTTATTTATTACTGATTTTTTATTTATTTATTGCTGATTAAAACTCTTATTTTTAAAATGGTAATTTTCAGAATCTATTTAACTTAGTAATTTCGAACTTGATATTTTTGCATGAAAAAAAGAATCAATTCTACAGGATGTAATACTTTGTTATGCCTTACAAATAGTTTATTATGCTATACTTTATTAAGTCTTACATTATATGCAATGAATTACAATGAAAAAGGCAAGCTTCATCACCAATAATTTGTATAACAGTATGTAGCACCATAGCATCGTTTTTGTTTAAAATTTCTACAGCTTTTTAAGAAAGAAAAAAAAAGAAAAAGAAATCAAAATAATTATCATACTTCTTAACTGAACTTTTATTTTTCTATTTTTATAACTAAATTTTTTTTTAGAAAACAGAAAATTGTTCAAAATAAATGCTTAACGTATTCAACACTACTCAAATTATTACAATCTAACAAATTGAATACTAAGCATATTGTTACCAATAGATAGAGAAAAGTCCTAGTTTATGGTGCCACGAAAGTGAAATATATTTATAAATTATACATTATAGACTATATATTATATATATATCATATATTTATAGAGAATAAATAATTACTGAAAATAAAACATTTCATATCCATTAAATTATTTCGGATAGATAAATGTATGGATAGGTAGACGCGAACTTAGTTGTTAATGAGTAAAAAAAGAGTTAATAAGTAAAAGTAATTAATAAGTAAATAATTAATAAAGTTAATAAGTATGTAAGTAGTTAATAAGTAAATATAATATTTTCTAAAACCAATATACCCTCCTGACTAAATTATTCTTAAATATTACCGATATAACTTGAAATGGCATAATGGTTCAGGCACTATGCTGTTACTATAAAATACGGGATTCTTTTCTCTTTTTCGGCTTGAAGCTTATCCAACTTTAGATCGATGGGTACCTGCTTGTCTAGCAAATAAAGGCTGCAAGTGCGCAATGCTGACCACATTACCACTATCAAGCCGTTGGTCATGAAATTTACTTTCTTCTGCTTCAGGTCATAAATTGGGAATTAAAAATGCGAGCTTCGAGATCTGTAAATGTATTGACAAGTATGTTTTCTGCGTTAGAATTCTTTACTTAATTGCACTTGCACTTATTAAATACAATCATAACAAGTAATAGAACATCCAAATCATGACATTTTGAACTAAGTACTTTTGAGTATTCTATCGTTAGATTGAATGTTATTCAGAAAGATTATTGTTTTTTTATCTCTGTATCAAAAAAGTAATTTACTTAATTGCACTTGCACTTATTAAATACAATCATAACAAGTAATAGAACATCCAAATCATGACATTTTGAACTAAGTACTTTTGAGTATTCTATCGTTGTATTGAATGTTATTCAGAAAGATTATTGTTTTTTTTTATCTCTGTATCAAAAGAGTAATTTACTTAATTGCACTTGCACTTATTAAATACAATCATAACAAGTAATAGAACATCCAAATCATGACATTTTGAACTAAGTACTTTTGAGTATTCTATCGTTACATTGAATGTTATTCAGGAAGATTATTGTTTTTTTATCTCTGTATCCAAAAAGTAATTTACTTAATTGCACTTGCACTTATTAAATACAATCATAACAAGTAATGGAACATCCAAATCACCAATCTTTTGAACTAAGTACTTTTATGTATTCTGTCGTTAGATTGAATGTTATTCAGAAAGATTATTGTTTTTTTATCTCTGTATCCAAAAAGTAATTTACTTAATTGCGCTTGCACTTATTAAATACAATCATAACAAGTAATAGAACATCCAAATCATGACATTTTGAACTAAGTACTTTTGAGTATTCTATCGTTATATCGAATGTTATTCAGAAAGATTATTGTTTTTTTATCTCTGTATCCAAAAAGTAATTTACTTAATTGCACTTGCACTTATTAAATACAATCACAACAAGTAATAGAACATCCAAATCATGACATTTTGAACAAAGTACTTTTGAGTATTCTATCGTTATATTGAATGTTATTCAGAAGGATTATTGTTTCTTATCTGCCTCCAAAATATACTTAACCCTTTAAAACAGAATTTGTATTAAACATATTTTTTATACTTCTTTCATTATTTTGCTTTAGTGTAGGTCAAAATAAGGGGAAATTATCTTCTTTTTTTTCTTTCGTTTACATCTTCATGATGGGAGAGTCATATATGCATTCTCAGGGCGGTGACAATCACGGTTAAAAAAGGTAAAACTGGTAGTCAAACTATTTTTATAGCCGTTTATTTGTGGGCAGAGTAATAATAGTTATCCTTATTTATGTCCCCAAGACTTAGTTCAAATTAAAGATTATATAGTTACACTTTTAACAAACATAGATTGAATGTATTAGATTTAAAGTGAATGCAAAAATGAGGTTGTCAAATTTGCCATGACCAAACTTAAGCTACCGCTTTTTATTTTTTTCCCATCCTGTTTCTGATTCCATACGGATATATTTGTGACTCGCCCGTCCCGAAAAGCTTAAAGGTAAAATTTTCTAAACACGGCTCACTTCCAAATAATAATTTTTAAATTATGCACTTATTTGCATATTATTTAGTTCTAAGAGAAACACTTATTCAGCATTAAAAATTTTTTTAATTTGCAAAATCAACTATTGATAGTTTTTTTCAATCTACTTCTTTTTTTGATTTAATATTTAAGTACAAATAATTCCGACAGTATAAAATATTTTTCTAGTAACTATTAGACTGTTTTTTGCAATTAAAAAATTCCAAAATGTATTTTTGCTTGTAATTAGTGATTCAGAAAGAAATATATATAAAGGGGACAATGATGTCCCTTCTTCGTTAAAGAATGAAAAGAGGACACCATACCGCGAGAGAAGTTTTTCATGTCAAAATTTGTCTACTCCATTGGTATTTTAAAATTTAAAGTATAGAAAAAAAAATATTTTCAATATCAAAATGCAAACAAATGATTGCAGGATAACTTAATCTAATAATAAGTAATCTGCCATATTTTTTCTGCATTTAAACTTTATGGTTTAGGTTTAAAACCATGAATTACTTAACTCGGGTTTAACCATGAGTTAAGTGTGGTTAAATTTAAGTTTCTTAAAGGCAGACTTAGATAAAATGAAAAACTTTCAATGAACATAAAATCTCAATTGAAAAACTTTCTGTACGCATTGATTAATTCTTGTAATTTGTTTTACCCCTTTCGTCGCCATCTTGTTTTCGAGGAATTTGTTCGAAATTTTTTTTATAATGTTTAATTTTTATAGAACTCTGTATTGATTCATACCACGGGGTTGAATTTGGTAAAAAACCAAAAAAAAAAAAAATTGAAAGTAGAAAAGCCAAAAACGTTACGTGTAAGAGGACGTTTTTTAATAATTGAAAAATCTCTGAAATTTGAGCGAGAAAAAAGTGCTTGTTGATTTATGCTTCCTACATACATAGGAAGTATTTATCCACAGATTGTTATCAACATTTAAAAAAAAAAATATCGATGCGAGTACTTTATTTATTTATTTAAATTGTGTGAATATGAATCTCGATGTTTGATTTTAAAATCGCATTAATACGAATCCTGATGTTTGGTTTTAAAATCGCGTGAATGCGAATCTCGAGATTTGATTTTAGAATGGCGTTAAAAGGCGACAAGGGGCTTTCAAATTTTTTTTTTGAAATTATGAAGGGATTTGCTTGAAATTTTCAGAATACATTTANTGCGAAAAACGAATAAACATCGAATGATATAAGGTCTCAAAAGTGATTCTGATTCTATCGCTCATCAGTCAAGGCCGTCTCAATATAACGAAACAATATCGTCTTCCACAGCGCGAGTTGGCATCGGAACGTAAGAGAAAGTCCTTGCGTGTATCGCTATATCGTTATATTGTCTTCGTCACTCGACGGCTTAAATCAGATTTCTGATGCATCGCTTGGAATGAAAGTCGCTGTATCGGTTTGCGATATAGGCGTTAAATCGATATGTCGCGATATATCGATTTATAGCCCAGTCCTAGTTGTAATTAATTCTATTGCTGTTCCAAGTACTTCACGGAAATCGTTCGACTTCATTTTTTTGCCAAAATATTTTTGAACGCAAGGAAATAAATTTATTTACCAAGTTGGAAACATATTTCTTGAAAATAATTACGATTTTACTTTATTTCGAAAAACCATATAAAATATTTGAAATTTAGAATCCAATCTTGAAAAGGCCTAAATTTTAACAGCTCCCAAAATTAAATTGAAAAAAAAAATGGTCGTTTCTAATGCTATTTGTTCATGCATATACGCACAAATATATATGTAAGCATTCTGCTTTATTTATGTTCATTTATAGAACCTTCACTTAAAAGAAATTCTCGAGACATTCACTGGTTTGTAATAGTTTTTTGTTTAACTGTCACCTCATCTTGAAATCATAAAGTTTGAGATGCCCTTTAAGTGTTACAAGTGATTTTTTTCCCCTTAAGAATCGTAAATTAGATGTGTAGAGGGTTGTTAACTAGAGTATTTATCCGAAACTTTTAAAGTGCCTACCTGGAAACAATACCAATAAACAGCTCTATGTAAAAAGAAAATTTTAGCTTATCTTCATATTATTCCAACTGCGATAAATTTCTAAATTTCAATAACTATTCAAATACACTGCTGGAAATTTTGAAATTTGTTGAACGAGAACACTGTTCTAATTTACAGCAAATTCAATAAGATGCTAAGTTTAAACCAAATCATCCAATTTAATTGGATTAGGATGCTTCACTCCTAGCTCGCTCCGCTCATCAGTCCCCGTAATTTCTTCTGATTTATCATTTATAAGTTCTCCAGGAAGGCAAATTTCTCCCAAAACTTGATCCAAGAGTTATCTTCTGGATTTTCTCGGATATATATATATATAGAGAGAGAGATAGTGAGAGAAAACAAGGGAAAAATTACAGAACAATGAAAAAAGGGGGAAAAAAGAGAAAAATAATAATAAAAATAAAAGTAACAAAAAACCGGTAAAAAAAGTCCAAAAATTTTAAAAAATCCGAAAAATAAAAGATATAATCTTTTCACCAGCTCACACGATTATATCCGCAAAAAATAGTGCTTTCTAATATTGCATCAATATAGCCAAAGCAAAATTTATCAATACAATAGTGTGAGAAACACTCAAAAAATTTTGCAAAAAATTACAGCAAATAAAATAGAACACAATAAGTATAAATATCACGTAGAAACAGAAAATAAAATATAAAGAATATGCTATATATATATATATATATATATATATATA